TTTGTTTTTGGCAACGCAATCACGTGGCCTACTAATCGAGAACAATGAAAAATTCCAACACAGCACAAATTGTAGGACCTCATGAAACAGGTGGCACAGAGGAAGACGAGGTCCTAAGTATTTCATATTATCGAAGAAATGAACGGTATCCGCTGCCGAGGTAGCAGACAACGGCAATCGTGAGGTTGATAAGGCTCACAATGTACAACTCGAAACTGAGCAACAATCAGCCTTCCTGGAGTATCAGCGAACAGACCTGTTGCACGGGAGTATTGAACAATGAAAAGATTACGAGCGCGGTGATGTTTTGAAAATATTGAATGGATTCGGAAGACATATGTCATTATCAATACAACATGAACATCGAGAGCGACTGGATAGCAATGTAACACAAAAGTAGATAAAGAGACTAGCCAATCGTCAGTTTGAAATAGAGCTTACCCCGTAAATTCCACTCACCTAAGCTGCTGCGTAGGGAGTATACCACTTGGGCATACCCGTAACACCCAAGATCTCCTGGTACTTGTGCGTCAGATCCTTCCTCCTAGCCCGACTCCTCGCCCCTTCCGACACATTACTTGCAAAGTAGAAACATATACACGGCACGCCCGCCTCGTCCTTCTCGTAGTCCATGACTTCCATAAATTTCCAGCCCGGTTTGTACTTGTATGGGAGAAGCCTCAGGATTTCCTTTATCGCGGGATTTATGCGCTTGGATGCAGGCGGGCGCATGTCCTCGCGGAATTTCCTTTCGATCGCCCAGGCCATGATTTCCATCATAGTCATCGCGTAGCCGTAGACTTGGTACTTTGGGTATCTGGATGTTGAGACGCGAAGCGGCGGACAGACAACATCGTAATACAGGTCGGAAGATCTGCATAAGCCATCAATGATTTGGCGTATGTGGCAGCAAAGGGCGCGTACTCGGTCGTTTCTGGCGTTGCAGAGTTTTGCTTCTCCTCCTCTACCTCCTCCTTGGGTCCCATCTCTGCAGGTAGCGCAAATGAGACAGACTTGACGGTAGAAGACATGTAGTAGATGGGTGTTAGTGTCAAGTTTGGGGAAGATGATGGTTCATGGTCAAGTGTTTCTCGGTCTTTATACCCAACACCACACAATGCAATCACGTGACACGTCCACTTTGACTTCCACAATTGGACTGCAATTTGACGAGCAGGACAAAGGACATATATTACAAGAATAGAACAAAGAGCAACGTGGTAGCATTGTAGAACAATAGGACACTTCATAGAATGCCCAAGAGCACTCCCAAAATGGAGGACAATGATACCAAAGCCACCGCGTTTTCGGAGTATAAAGGTGCAAGAAAATGGCAAGCGAGGGCCCCACCAACCAGCCAGCATGAGCGCGCACAACCACACAGAATTCATTCTCCCCGGGGATCGCAATCCCCTTGCCGTACTCCAAGCTATCAGCGCCATTCTTCTCGCCTTGGACATGGTGTACAACAGGCGCCGCTTAGAGGCTATGGTTCACGCGCTGCGGAACGCACACCTCATTTCCCTCGTCGCCGACCGCTCCGACCTCGTCGTTGTCCCCCAAATGGTCATATATTATACCGACGATCCCGACGAACCACTTTCGTCGTCGCTGTCAACCCAGCCGGAACAGAATGCTAAAAGTGTCACACCAGATTTCTGCGTTCTTCATCTCCCCTTCCACGAGCGCTTTCCAACTCCGGGAGCCCCCTTTAACCCGACTTCGATCCTGGATTGGCGCAAATTCCAACTCGACAGCGCCTTCATACCGATCATTGAAGAGGACAAGCGACCTATCTCTCGTGGAGAGTTATCAATGGAGACAATACGGATTGCACTGGCGCAGAGTCTTGAACGTGGTTGTCACGATGCCGAATATTACGCAAGTTTTTTGTGGAAGGACCCTCGTCGTGCCAAGCAGAAACGTGTCATTCTGATTTCGTCGGTGGGCCTTTGGTGGCGGTTTATGCTCGCAGAGCGCCCTGCAGGCGAGTATCCGGGTTCAGATGCAGAAGAGTCGGTTTCGTCGGATTCGTCCGAATCATGGGAAGAAGAGGGCGACAGGGAACGTGTTAAAGAAAGGACAGACGCTCGAGATGGAGCGGTTGCGGAGGATGACCCCCTTGAACCGACAGACACCATGACCGTGGCCGAATTGACCTGCAAGAGCGACCTGAAGCGAAAGGCTGTCGATAGTCCTGATGACAATCGTGACGAGAAACGTACAAGGAAAGTCTCCCCAAATCGTGACGCGAAGGAACAGAACGTCCCCAAATTTCGCAGTATCGACATCATAGATGTTGACCCCGCTCCCGACGCAGAGGACCACCCTGCGTTCGACCAAATCCAAGAAGTGGTCGTCGACAATGTTCAGGATGCATGGCCGGAGAAGGACGATTGGTCCGGCCTCATCCACTTGGGAACCCCTGCGTCGAACCAACGCTTGTGGTTGATCCACGACTGGTTGCAGAAGTTCTCCAACGATCCGGAATGCGTCGACCTGGATCTCCAAGATATCGCATAAGCGTATCATTTGTAATGTAATGACCTAGTAACGCCAGTATCAAGAATAGTAGTAGATAAACTCACTTTGTTTTAACAATAACGAGGATGACAAGAATGCTCATCTCTTGAACCAACGGTACGTTTTGGAAACACTGAATGAATCGGCATTGGCAGGACACATGCTAGAATACAACTTTGGACATCGAGAGCGAATGTCATATACTAGCCAAGCGTCAGTCTAAGATAGAGCACAACTTGTAAATTCCACTCACCTAAGATGCCGCGTAGGGAGTATACCACTTGGGCATGCCCGTAACACCCAAGATCTCCTGGTACTGGTGTGTCCGATCCTTTCTCCTCGCCTGCCTCCTCGCCCGTTCCGACACGTTACTCGCAAAGAAGAAACATATACACGGCATACCCGTCTCGTCCTTCTCATAGTCCATGACTTCGACAAACTGGAAACCCGGCTTGTACTTGTACGGGAGAAGCCTCAAGATTTCCTTAATCGCGGGATTTATGCGGCGGGATGCAGGTGGGGGAATATCATCGCGAAATTTCCTTTTGATCGCCCAGGCCATGATTTCCATCATGGTCATTGCGTAGCCGTAGACTTGGTATTTTGGGTATTTGATATTTGGGACGCGGATCGGCGGACAAGCAACGTCGTAATACTTGTCGGAAGATCTTCATAAACGTTAGTGATTTAGCGTAGGACGTAGCAAAGGGCGCGTACTCTGGTTTTTCTGGCTTTGCCGAGGTCTGCTTCTCCACTTCCTCCTTCCATTCCGCCTCTGCAGGTAGCGCAAATGAAACAGACTTGACGGTAGAAGACATCAAGTGGTAGTCTGACGATGACGGTCCGTGCACAAGTGCCTCTCGGAAATTTGTTTGCCAATATAGACTCACGTGGTACGCAGGGCAGAGACTATACTCAGGGAAAAAGACACGAAATGGCCATTACTCCATAAACACAACACCTACAACTTGGCCTGTCGGTTCCACTGCACAAAGAAATCAATAAATCAACCAAAACAAACACCAGAAATCACACATACCCAAGGATACCACTCGCCCACTTTATCCAACACGCCCAACCCATCCGCCATCCTCGGCGCCCTCTTCTCCAAAAACGCCTTTCCCGCCTCCCTCGCATCGCCCTCCTTGGACAGCATCCCCAACGTCCTCGACTCCATCTCCACCACCTTCTCCAAGCTCCCCAATGGGGGATGCACCAACAACCCCTTCGTCATCGCCACCGCCGTCTGGCTTGTACTCTCCGCCAGCTCCCGCGCAAACGCCAGCGCCCCAGGGAACACGTCCTCCCGCTTCGGGATGACAGCGTAGTAGAGCCCCGCGAGGAGCGGCGAGGTGGGGGAGAGGACGGTGCCGGAGAGGAAGAGCGCTTTGGCGCGGGACATGCCAAGGAGGGAGGGGAGGAAGAAGGAGGATAGGGCTGTTTAGGTGTGTGAGGGAGGATGTGAGTAGTAGTAGAAATAATACCTTCTGGTGCGATCCCTCGGCGGACAAAGGGGAACACGAGTTTTGCGCCCTCCCAGACGAAGCGAAAGTCGTAGGGGAGCTGCATACCCGTCATACCGACTCCAGCCTGTCATCATGTCGTTATTGACAACAAACGCTATAATGGTAAGTTACTGACCGCATGCCCGTTAACAGCAGCAATCGTGATCTTTCTGCAATTATATACCGCCAGGGACACTTTCCCGCCGGGCTCTCGGGTCTCTGCTAATATGAGCGCCATCACATGCATGAACATGGTGGTACACACCATATGGCGATCCTTTACCTCCAAGGCCACCCCATCCCGCGTTCAAATCAGCCTATAACAGCACGGTATCAACGCTGAACGTTGAGCACGCGAATCTTGAAAAAGAAACGCACACCAGAGCAATACGCAGGCGCATCAGGCGCAGCCGTAGTGATAACGACGCGCACACGGTCGTCCTGATCTGCAAGCTGGAATACGCGCTCCAGTTCATCTGCGAGCCCAGTGCTGAACGTGTTCCGCCTATTCCAACGTGTTAGCACTAACGAGCACTCGACGCTCCCCGTATACTTACTGCTTCGACCTGTTCAAGGTCACTACTAGGACCGCCCCGTCGAGCGTAGGAATGATCTCTTTAAAGTTGAGTGTTGCGTAGTCCATGTCGGTATGAGTATTACCGGGGTGGATTCGAGATTTATGTACCGGGATCAAACGTAACCGGAGCGGACAGAGGTTGATATGACAGTAGCCTGAGTAAGAGTCAGCTGGCTTTTGACATGGACGAGTCGGAGGAAGGATAATAACGTCAAGCCTTGATGGAGGGAGCGGAATGTCGGGCCGACTGGGGAGTAGTAGGTACACTTACACGCCCAGAATCCAGCAACAAGGTCTTAGGTCCACATGAAAAGTCTGTGTCGTGAAGGTGAGAAAAACACTACAGCTGCACCACCGAGTGAATAAGAAGAAAAAAATGTTTGTATGAACACGGACTCTCTGACTGGGAGTCGAACCCAGCTTTCGCGCGGATGACAACAAATGACAGGCGCGTGTACTAACCGATATACTATCAGAGATATGGTTTCGCCTTCGATCATCAACCATCACTGGTTCCGCCCATTTCGCACAAAATGTTATACGCCTCTAGACAGATAATTATTTACCCTTACGCCAATCCTGCCTTCTTCATCGCGCCCAACATTGCCTCTCCAATCTGCGCCGGGCTGTCCGTCACAATCGCGCCCGCCTTTTCAAGGGCAGCCACCTTGTCCTTTGCCGCGCCCTTGCCCCCCGCGATGATCGCGCCCGCATGGCCCATCCGCCGTCCAGGAGGCGCAGTGCGGCCGGCAATGAACGCGACGACAGGCTTGTTCTTGGTGTTGTAAGCCGCAATGTATTCAGCCGCTTCTTCCTCCATCGAGCCGCCGATTTCTCCAATGAGTACGATACCTAGGGAGATATGAGAAAATTTGGGGTAAAGGAGGGGGGCGGAGAACGTTACCCTTGGTGTTGTCGTCTTGCATCAAGACCTTGACAACGTCGAGGTGCTGTGTACCCGGGAAAGGGTCCCCACCGATTCCGACGCAGATGGACTGGCCCAAGCCGACTTGTGTAGTTTGCGCGACGGCTTCGTAGGTGAGTGTCCCTGACCTCGATACGATTCCTGTATACCTTGTCAAGCTTGAGGGAATAGTAAATAGGATGAACACACACCAATATTGCCTGGCATATGAATATGGCCCGGCATAATACCCATCTTACACCCAGCGGGGTTAATCACGCCAGGACAATTTGGACCTACTAGACGACTCTTGCTCTGGTTCTTGAGCGCGTTCATCACGCGGATCTCGTCCGCCTGGGGGATACCCTCTGTAATAGCGACAATGAGGCCTATCTCGTTCTCGATAGCTTCTATGATGGCATCGGCAGCGGAGGGCGGCGGCACGTAGAGCACTGTGGCGTCGGGCTGCGCTTCCCGGACGGCTTCACGGACAGAGGCATAGACGGGGAGGCCGAGATGGGTGGTGCCTGCTTTCTTGGGAGAGACGCCCCCGATGATGCGGGTCCCGTAGGCGAGCGCGGTCGAGGCGTGGAATGTACCCTAGGAGAAAACATGAGCATCCAAAGGTGATTAGACTGGAATATACACACAGTTTTGCCTGTAAAGCCCTGTACGAGAACCTTTGTGTCTTTATGTATGAGCAGGTTGGAGATGGTGTCTTCGTAGCTTCGGCGGGCAGCGGTGTGGCTGAACGTCCGGCGTCCGGCTAGAGTGTGTTAGCGTAGTGGATGATACGCGACACGATACTACGCACCGAGCTTAACGGCTTGAACGCGATACATGATTTGTGGCGTGGCGGGTGGTAAAGACAACACCCGGGATAGCCCTCGAGTGTTGGTGACTATTTGGCTGTGACGTCTTGACGCGTTTCCGCTGGATTTTCAGCATGGCGCGCCGTTGACGGGCAGCAATTGCGCGGACGGCGCCCCGTTTGTATTCCGTTGCGCAAATTCTAGACTTGCTGCTCGTGGGAACCCCTCGCTCATTTTTTGGTCGCGGTATCAGGTTAAACCAATCGATTGTGAGTTATTAGTACGCGTCAACAACTCTTCGACCTATCTATCGCCGACCTGCGATAGTAAAAATGCGCCACATATTTCACGCGGAAGCCTACTAAATCAAACGCGCTCAAGTCGAAATAGTGCCAAACGTCTGTGTACAACAGATTAGCAGCTGGGTGTCATAGCAGTCATGCCGGAAAATGCCGGAAAGTCGCGTTACCTCACGTCACGGCCACATTTTTGCTCAGCGCCGTCATGCCCATCCGGCTGCGGTTTGCCCTCCACGGGACGCGCAACAACCGCATCTTCCACCTCGTCGCCATAAACTCACGCCACGCCCGCAACGCCGCCCCCGCCGAGCTACTCGGCATCTACGACCCGCGCCTTCCCGCCACTATACACCCAGACGGCACGCGCCGCACCCCCAATACTTACAACATCAAACAGAACCCGGCAAAGACCATCAGATGGAGTGTCGACAGAATTCGCTACTGGCTTTCCGTTGGCGCAGTTCCGACTAAGAGTGTAGCCCATCTGTTGGAAGCTGGAGGCATTTTGGGACAAGCTGGAAAGAGAATTGTCCCAGAGGGTGTCTCGATACACGCCTTGAATACGAGGTGTAGTCGCTGTGGCGGAAAAGGTCATGCCGTGCGTGACTGTGAACAGCCGCCGGAAAAGATCACACTCAAAGTATGTATCCGGTTCTTTGGTGTACATGTGCTAACATGGACTACAGCAATCGCCGCCTCCAAAGCCAAAGGTGGAGAAGAAACAGGTGGAGAAAAAGGTACAGAAAAAGGTGGAGAGAAAAGAGCCTACGGTACGTGTGTTCCCATCTCGTATACCCATACCAACACCCCCACAGGGCGCATTCGCCGACCTCCTCAAAGCATCCCGCGAATTCGCTGCCTCATCCTCTACTCCCCTCCCCGTCATACAAGACCTCACCACCAAACCCTCTCCTCCCCCCAAAAAGCACAAATCCCTCCTCGGCGACATTGTCCCTCCCAGCCGCTCCCCCCTCGCCGGGTACACCATCGACTCCCTCGCCACCATGTCCGAAGACGAGGTCACCATCCTCTTCACATTTTGGGAAGAGTGGGAGAACGCCCGCCTCGCCCGCATCCGCGCACGCCGCGAGTTCGAGCAGTCTCGGGACGACATGGACGATAACCTGAGAACCGCCCTCCAGCGAGAGTGGGACGCGATGGGCCCAGAGCCAGATATTCTTGGCTATAATGACCTGCCAGATGACAGTGATAGGTTTGCCGCCGAGCACGAGAGTGAGAGGTATGCGTTGTATCACAAAAAGGTTAGTGTTTCCCTAAACCTTATGATTGGTTCGACTGATGATGATGTGTGTGTAGGATATTGAGCGTGAATTCGAGAAAATACGCGATCACACGATACCCGCGGACAAGTTTGTGCCTAGCACCATGAGCAGCGACCAAGTCAAGAAACTACAGGACGACTGGGAGAAACAACGCGCCGCAAAGTTTCTCGAAGAGAAGGTCAACGCTTTCAAGGCCAAGCCCGACTTGGTCGAGCCTGCGGACTTGGAAGCCCTCTTCAGAGATGTAAAGAGCGATGTCGATTTGGAAAGAGAAAAGGAGTTTGTTCTGGCGCAGGTGGCAAAGGGGAAGAACTTGACGGGGTGATCTTTACAACTTGGATAGAGTAGCGTTCTGATTCGATGTGAGAGTTTTTTGTGTTTTGAATGATCGAGTAAGTTCGGTGGGTACGTAAGAACGTCTCTGATAGTATATCGGTTAGTACACGCGCCTGTCATTCATACTTCTTCGGCCGTCGCGCGAAAGCTGGGTTCGACTCCCAGTCAGAGAGTTGATTTGATAATTGAGCTTTTTCTCGTGTGGCGCAATGCCCGAGAGCCCATTCAATACTATATGTTGAATAGGGTCGTGGGAAAAAATCTCCGGTATTTTTACCACCCCCTCCCGGAGGCCCTGGTTTTTTACCGGTATTAAACCTTTTTTTACCTAGCACATGACAAAATCATGTGATCTGCGCCACATTTCTTTCCTCAGCCACATCTTGTACAGTAAAGGCCTCCACTACAAAGTGCTTCTGCAGTAAGTTTTACTATGTAATGGCAGCTGACTAGACAATATGCTTTGATTTATATGTGGGTTCAGACACCACATGCTTGCATAGGACAAGGACGAGGCGGGGTCACATGATAAAGTCATGTGCAGGTAAATTACCTACCCTCCGGACCCCCTGGGTTTATTACCGGTAAGAAACTGGTAAATTAACTGCTCAAAACCGAGATGTACTAAAACCTAGGTTCATTCCACAGCCCTAGTTTCGATACCGTATCAATACTGTTACTTAGTAACTGCAGTAGGGTTTACTTCACCACCATGGTCCATAAGCCTCCAGCTCTCTGCTACTGCAGGGCCAAATTATGGAAGACCATTTGTCCTGGCATTTCCATTGCCTCCACCTTGACATGACCGTATTTACTACTTACTTACTGCGGCGGCGCCTCGAGTTAAGATCGATTTCTCAGTTTTCACAAAATATTTCTACTTATCATGTTCGCCGCCACAGGGTTTGTTTGCAGTCTCCAAGTTCTCCTTTCTCACTGCATCAACCGTCAATGGTAAATTCTCACTCTGTCCCGCATTTTACTTGTTGAAGCCTGCGGAATAAGTACCATTCCTAAAGCATCCACTGAGACCATGCACCATAGGAACATCTAGCACGAGGCCGTAGAATATGACGATGAACCAGAACACGAGAAATCCCATTTTTGAAACACAAACACAAGTAAGTAACCACCCCCCCAAAAAAAAAAAAACGCCAAGCATGAACGGAAAGCCTCAACCCCCCCGGTCACATACTCCTACTACTTCTTGCAATACCCAGCACTCTCCGTGATAAAGTTGATAGACCCATCGGGCTGCGTCTGCCCGCCACAGTTGTCCGCATCCTTCTCATCGTGGCACTTGCTAAACAGCGCACAAGTCAGCTGGGTGCTGCCGTCCTATATGATAGTGTCGTCAGAATGGCCAAAGTTGAAAGATGTATGTATGTTACCTTGGCGTTATTATCGTGGTACGCTTTCAAATTTTAACGTTCGTCAGGACAAGATCAAGTGACGAAGCTCACTATTGAAAAACCCACACCCATCGACGCTCGTGCACATGGTCTCGCAATCTACATAGTAGACGTTGAGCGGCATTCATCATTGATTGAAGACGAGCAAGACGAACCATCAACAGTATCAACGAGCCCGTACGTCAGATAATCGCCGTCCGACTGCACCGCACACGTCCCGTTCGTGAAGATCGGCGTCCACGGGTTCGACGGGTGGTGCGGCGGCGGCTTGGGGCAGTGAAGGCACAGCGGGAGGAGGTCCAGGAGCTTGCAGATCAGCTACGAATCCAAAGCGCGTCAGCCATATACCGTATATGCCATGCGCGTCTACGTACGCCATCTTTGAGCCACCGACAAATGTTCTTGAGCGTGTCGGGGTGGTCGCCGTAGTACCACCCGGGCTTGCAGCCCTTCTTCCACGGCGGGATCGGCGCGCCGTAGTGGTTGCCGAGGGACAGCTGGCCGCTGAGCGCCACGGAAAGCGTCGCGTCGCTCGACGCGGTGGACGCCCACGCGGTGCTGGCAGTCGCAAGGGTAGCGGTGAGGATGGCGAAGAAGCGCATTTTCTTTTCTGGAGTGGACTAGGATAGTCAAAAAGTGGATGTTTCGAGACGATGGAGAATGAGAGTCTTCAAAGCAGTAGCTTTTATACGCGCGAGCGTCCACCGCCCATCACGAAAAGTTGGTTAGGAACCACCACGTCGGAGATGGAGGGCTGTCAGGGGACTCAATGAGATCGTAACGCGGTGAATGTCTAGCGCCTGCATGTGTGCGCCCTGGCCTTGATGTACAGCACGCCGGTGTTCGCCAGTGATAATCAGTATACAGCGAAGAAGAACGTAAACTGTACGTAGAGTACCACCTTAGCTTCGTGTAGGTAAAGCGGTCCTAAAGACTTGCGTGCAAAGACCAACCCAGAATGCGTGACTCGGAGAGGGAGCGGCGCGTTGAAAATGTGAGAACGAGTCGGACGGCTGACACATCACATCTGTCAGTCGTCTGTGAGGTAACATATGTACGGCGAGGCCAGGCCTATCCAGGAATTCAAGAGAGCTTCGCGGGTGTAGGAAGAGACGCTTGCCATGTCAAGCCTAAAACTCCCCCAATAGTTGCATGTTAATAATTGTAGCTCCCCAGTCTACGAGTGTCTTCCCTGTGGTAAACGTGTACGAGCAAACTGCAACAGCATGTTCCAACAAAACGAAAGCGCCGCCGGTATAACAATAGGCAGGCAGGTTGAAAGACTCGAGTCACTGTCGCCGACGAATTGTTTGAGAGTTACGGTAGACGTACATCTTGTACGGTCCCCTGTGCCTGCATTAATGAACCGGGTTCAGAAGAGAAGGTGCCGCGACTCTCGAGGAACGTTCTTCCCCAATGCAAATCGTACGATGCGGTCCAAGTTTAGAATATGGGCGTGTATGATATGATGAAAAGGCCGAGCTATGCAGATGTACGTGCTGAATTGTGTTCACTGTTTTTCGGGGTCCTCTAGACACAGAGAAGTCTTCTACCTTCATTTCGTCCTGACAGAGTTTATAGTCTAGACCAATGTGATATGACTGGGGGTGAGCAGCGTAACAAGTCAGCCTAGATGTTGTTGTTGTCGTTACTTCGTGAAGCATGAGAGCTAGCACCGATGGATGTGCACTTGTCATTGTGGATTTAACAGCTGTACAACCTCCTCATGGCCCAGCTCGGTTGCAACATCAAGCGGGGTCATCCCATCTTGGTCCTACAATCTTCAAGCTTCAAGTACAGCAATTCGCGGGATGACATACCTTGACATCAACCCTTGCCCCTCGTTCAATAAGCCTCTTGACCGCCACAGCATCTCCCCGGTCGGCGGCGCGGTGTAATGGTGTATAGCCCTTCACAATAAAGATTACATCAGGGCAGCGCGCGAGATGGGGGAAAACAACTACATACATATTCATCTATCGCGTTTACATCCCCATCCCCATCCTCTTTATCTGGAGTATCATCAAGGCCATCAGGCCGACGCATAGTGCTCACAGAAACGCCAAATCCCGCGCCTTTGGATGCGCTCGTTGACGGTTCCGAGCTATCCAGATTATCCCAGTCGATAATATCCTCCTCCTGCTCCTCTTTCGCAATACTGAAAGAAGGCCCAGGCCACCCCAGCCCCCTCGCAATGCGCATGTACCTCTCCTGCGCCTCCTTCTCATCTATATCCGTGCCTCCCAGTTGATCCCAGGCATCCCACTTGGCGCGCCCCGTCCAATCCAAGAGTCCCGGACGCGTTGTTGTAGGTTTCGGCCCGGACGTGACGTATTTGTAGAGCGCGTAGAGTTCTAGTTTTGTTTGTGTGGATGGAGATGGGGAGGGGGACGAAGAAGCGAGGTATGCTGCAGCGGAGTTGAAGGCGTCCGAGCTCATGTTATGGTGAAAAGAAAGCCACGATCGGTACCCTCGATCAACAACAGCTTGCTTGTCTCTCACCACCATCACATCATGGCCTCGCAAATCCTCCCCCTCGAGCTCATCGATCGCTGCATCGGCTCGCGCATCTGGGTCATCATGAAGAGCGAGCGCGAGTTCTCCGGGACGCTCTTGGGGTTCGATGACTTTGTTAGTGCGTCTGCGTAATCCCCGATATTCCAAATGAATTCTCAAGTGTCCCCGTCTCTTGTCTACTCTCTGCCTCGCATAGACATGGTTCTCGAAGACGTGACGGAATACGAACGCACAGCGACAGGGACGAAGACGACCAAGCTCGCGCAGACGCTCCTCAATGGTAACAACATATGTATGGTACGTACTGCGCTCGTTGTGTTTGATCTCATTGCGATGTATCATTCCCTTCCCATGGTCCCACTTATTCGCATTTTTCCCTGCTCTTCCACCAATCGTCGACTACATGCTCATCATGTCCCTAGCTTGTGCCCGGAAGTAATGGTCCCGACGAGTAGCGTGATGCTCGAACATATTTCAAAACCCCACGTCATGTCGGAGTCATGGAGTGCAGGAGAAACAATTTGGCCGTCATGCGAAGGAGTTCTGAAGAGACTGGTTCGCAGATGTGTGTACAAACTATCATCGATTTTCACACTTAGAGAACCGTCGTCAATATTGAAATCAAGGTGTGATGCCTTTGATTCATTGCTTTCGTGAAAGCCCTTCATATGGTGTTTTGACGTGTCGTTGTTCTCACCATGTCCCAGTACATATATTCTGACGGGATTGGTTAACAAGTCATAACCAGAACCTACCCCATGCCGGCAGGTTCAGTATTGACTAAAACACCTTGATTTACTGCATATTTGAACATTATTGATAGAGTATTGAAAGCCTTGAGGGTGGCATTGAAAGGTTAAAGCGCACCGCTGCGCCACATCACGTGCCGCGTACAAACCAGTAACTTTTTACTGCGGTTCTGCTGGGGAAACCATGACTAGACCTGTTACCTGAGGTCCTGGACCTGAGCCTCCTGGGGCATCCTGCGCCACGCTAATTTCTTCCATGACAAAAAGGAAGAAGTCTTCGCCTGGTTCACTCTCTGACTGGGAGTCGAACCCAGCTTTCGCGCGGCTATCATTATCGAATGACATGACAGGCGCGTGTACTAACCGATATACTATCAGAGATGAAGTCCATTGCGAACTGTTGTATATTTGACTAGACATACCTCCAACTGCCATTATCGTCGACCCACAGAAATGTGGCGGTTTATAATACATTGGCATTGGAATCATAAGTACTTACTTACGTATTTTATATCGTCAGGAATCATTGTATACGGGTGGGGATAGCTACTTAAACACAAGTCAAAATAACAGACAGAGAAAGTTGAGGGATGTAAGGAGAATACAGTCACGGAGAAATGATCTAGTTTCCAAAGCTGAATCCACCTTGTGGCGCAGAGACGTCTTGGAACTGTGTGACCGCGAATCAGAAGCCGTACGGTAACACACAAAAGGAAGAGGCCTCACCGCAAAGTTTCCAGCCTGATCTACACTCGGCTGTGCGATACCGCCTTCTTCTTCCTCGTCTGGGAAATACTTGTCCATCATATTGAAGGCCTTCTTGTAGATATCCAAGTTATCATGCTGCTGGAGATTGTGGATGGCAATCATGCCACCAGCTTCCTCAACAAACACCGCATACTGGTTCACTGCCCCGGGACCATTGTTGGTCTTGTCCATCTCACCGATCTTCAATATGTTATCAAGACCGTCGAGCGCGACCTGGATGATCTTGTTGTCCATCATCGCAAGGAGGTCGCACAACGGCTTGATGCATCCTTGCGACACGAGATACCGGATCTGCGTAGGCTCCTGCAGACCGCCAGATGTCGCGTTCGAGATCGCCCAGCAGGCTTCCTTTCGCGTCTTGAAGTCGGCGTGTTGCAAAATGTTGATGAGGGGCGGGATAATGTTCGCGTCAATCACAGCCTGGATTTGCGGGGGTGAGCCTGCCGTGATGTTGGAGATAGTCCAGCAAGCCTCTTTGCGGATGCCATCCTTGGGGGAGGAAAGCAGGGAGAGAAGAGCAGGGAGCGCGCCGGAAGCGATAACCACTTGGGTTTGAAGGTCGTCTCCAGTGACGATGTTACCAACTGAGCGGAGAGCAGGGGTCTGCACGGATGTCGAGCTGTGCATAAGCAGATCCACGAGGCGTCGACACACGCCCGACTCGATCACGGCTTGGATCTTGTCGTTTGACCCGTCGGAGAGGTACGAGATGGCCCAGCACGCGTCAATCAGTATCTCGTCGTCGAGGGAGTAAATCAATTTTGTCAGGATGGTAAGCGCGGGGGAGATCTAATGAAATTATAACAATCATTTAACCGACTAGCAAAAAAAACGTACGAGCTCCCAGTCCGGTTGCGGCGACTTTCCACGGCAGAAATTGCTGAGGGTCCAGGTCGCATTGCGGAGCATGCTGAGCTTGTGCTGCTCGCTTAACAAACCGAGCAAGGGGCGCAGCGCACCAGCCTTGAGGACGTAATCTCTGCATTGCGGGCTGTCTCCTGCGATGTTTCCAAGCGCCCAGACGGCCTGCTCCCGCACATCATGGACAGGCGATGAAAGCAAGTTGATGAATTCTGGTACGGCTTCAGCACCGATGACAACCTGGGTGTGCTCGGCGGTCCCCGACGCAATGTTCGTCAACGCCCATGCAGCCTCGAACTAAGAAAGGTGATGGAGAGATAAACGATCAGGGGAGAATCGCGGCAAAACGAAAAAAGTCACACACCTGAAGCATTGAAGTGCCCGTACGCAAAAACTCGACAAAGCGTGGCACGACGCCGCACTCAATAACGCGTTCGATGGGCGGATTTTTCTCCTTGCTGAGCAGCTTGCGGAACTTGGTCGTCGCGTCGAGCTGCCGCTCTTGGTCGGTGGAGAAGACGGCGTCCATTAGTCCATCGGCGCTCTAATCGTGCACATCCATCAGTACGGCGGTTTAAACAGGCGAGATTCAGACGCACCTCTGGATCCCACGTCCCAATCGTCACCTCCTCGTCCGAATCGGGTCCACTGGAGGGGATGAAGTTGCGGCGCTTGGAGATGTTTTCCTCTCGCTTCTGGCGACGGATCTCAACCTGCTGCTCTTCTCGGCGCCGGCGCAAGTCATCCTGCTTCAATGCGCCTTTTGCCTTGTATGCTGTTAAAGTCGCGTTAGCCACGCCTCAAACACCCAACGAAAAAGAGCAACAAGACTGCAAGAACAGGTCACTTACCCTCTCGTCGAGCCTTCATGGTGCGGGATTCGTTGTTATCCATCGTTGTCGATGAAAGAGTCAAGTGGCTACGAGCTTGTTATGGGAAAGAAAGAGGCAAGAGACCGCCGCGATCTTTCTACCGGCAATGTCACGGTCACGCGTTACTACAAACAACAGTCTCTTTCGATTTGGTCTTTGTTGCGGGCAAACCTGAAGACCTTTGTACCAGGACTGACAAATACAGCGGCGCTTCATACCTAGAGAAAAGATTCATACACATCCGCTACTTTGTCAGTCGTTCAAATAGCAAATGCTGACACGTGCACGCGTATGGCGGTAAGTAATCGTAGTATACACAAGATGTCCTTCAATTTCCAGCCTCAAACTCGTTTAAAACTTCACCCCAGCACTCTTACTGGACTACCGTCCAAAAAAGCAAGAATGTCATCAACGATATCCTTGAAGAATCCCTGAGCATCAAGTTGTCAGCATTCAAGTTTAACGGCAAGGCAAACACTCACCTGATAACTGGTATCATTCGCATACCCATTATGCGGGCTAAGCGTCACATTCTTCAGCGCCCTCAGCGGGTGCTGCAGAGGCAACGGCTCAATATCGTACACATCCAACCCAGCACCTGCAATCTTCTCTTCTCGCAACACATCAATCAAAGCTGCTTCATCCACCAACGGCCCCCGCGACGTATTGATGAGAAACGCCGTCTTCTTCATCAAAGCAAGTTCGGCCTGCCCAATTATCCCACGCGTACTCGGCGCAGACACCATATGCACGGAGAGCACATCGCTTTGCTTCATGAGCTCCTCCTTGGAGGAAGCAAACTCGACACCAGCTTGCGCTGCCCTCTCGGGAGTCAAGTGCGGCGACCAACCTAAAACCCTCATACCGAACACCTTTGCTATCTATCAATCGCATTCACGCCTGAGCATTTGATCGACAGAAAGTTAGTCACCTGCGCAGTATGCGAACCCAGTCCGCCAACCCCAAGGAGGCCTAGCGTCTTCCCGCTCAACCCAAACGGCACAACCGTTTGCCATTGGGGATTGTTCTGCTTGATGTTCTTGTCCTCTAACGCGATATACCGTACTGTTGCCAGGATTATCGCCCAGATATGTTCCATGGTCGAATTGCCTTGGGAAGACGTTCCCGAGACCATTATACCGCGTTCTTTGGCAAAAGTGACATCAATACCACGATTAATCATTCCAGTGGTTATGAGGAGTCTGAATATTAGCATATTAGATAGGCGTCAAAGAGGTATTGAGACACATACTTGAGATTAGGCAATCTCTCTAGCACATCAGCGGGAAATTTCGTTCGTTCTCGCATAGCACAGATAATGTCGTATTTCTGCAGCCGACTTGCGACATGTTCTGGGTCGATAGCTTCATTGAGAACCTCGATTGATGCTTTGTCATATAGAACACTCCAATCCGCACTGCTGAGAGCGACATTCTGATAGTCGTCCAATACGATTACACGAAGCGGACCGTGTCCATGCAGAGTAGCCATATTGTCGTGAACGTTCAAAGCAAAGTCGTTCACCTGACATAAGCACCTCTCAATCTCACGGAGGAATCAGAGCTTAGAAATACTATCATTTTTAGACGATCATACTCATAAATAAAGTAAGGTCCACCAGTTGTCTCTCGACTGCATCATGCATCGTTACCGAAAGGATACTGGAAGAGCAGACGATTAGTCATCCATCGATAATCACAAAGTTCGTAGATATACCTCAAATGGTTCTGGCGTGTCTGCTTCTGGTGCACTCTCATCCAATGCGATATGAGGACCTGAAGGGCCAGCAGCAGGCGCGGGCGCACCGGCCACCGCGGTACCGTTGGCCGCTGCATCGACAATAGGCGGCGGCGGCGACAAGTCCAAGAATTCGCCCTCTTCGTCCGGACGAAGATCGACCAACATCAGAATGCCCCCACCACCAGCGGATCTCTGTGGCGCAAGATTGGATACCTTACCGCCTTTCGGTGCTTTCGCAACAGGTCGATTGGAAACGGGCCGCACAGGCTGATACCGGCCCTCAGCAGGAAATGAAATGTAAGCAAGCTGTGCTGGCGTTACTCGCGAGAAATTTGGTAGCATCTCAGACGATGGTTCCGACTTGCGTGTAACTTTCGCAGGCACCTTAGGTTCTTCGGCTAGGTTGGATATCGAGCCCGTTATCGGTGAAATATCACCGCTGACAGCAGGCGTCTCCTCCTTCATTTCCGCATCACCATCGCCCTCCTTCTTGACTTCGTCCTATGAATACCGTTTAGCATCGAAAGACCGCAGCATAACAAAAGCTCACCAAGTCCATGCCTTCTTCAGCTGCCTTCTTCTTTTCTCGGGCCTTGACTTTAGCTGTGGTTGACAGGACGGCGGTAGCGACCTTGGCGACAGTTTCCTTCTTTGGCGGCTTTGTGGATGCCGGATACGCAAATAGACTGGGACGGGCATTGGAGGTGAACTCGAATTTCGGTACCTAGAAAGTTGAATGAACAGACCGTAAACGATATTCGATATGGAGTTCACCTTGAGATCTGCGTCGAGACCAATGATACCAGTGGGCTCGAACGCCAAGCATGCACAATGTGCGAGAGGATACCAGTACCAGAACTGGCAGAACATGACCATACCGACGATGGCATTGGTGTTCCTACTACCTGCACGACTAAGGAGGCTAATGGTAACATTGCGTCCGCCTGCATCGATCAAACCTTGGCCGATGGAAGCGCCGAACCTGGCCACAGGATCTTCATGCTTGTCCGAAACGACCTTGGTGTATAAAGCTCTTGTCGAAGCCAACGAAGGAGAGGAAGCCTCTGACTGCTCCACGAGGATCATACCTAATGCGATGAACGCACCCTGGCGAACGAAGTCGACACTATCCTTCGTCAT